ACTAGGTAGGTAGGTAGGTAGGGAGGTAGGTAGGTAGGCAGGCAGGCAGGCAGGCAGGCAGGCAGGCAGGCAGGCAGGCAGGTAAGATATCATCACCGCGGGGAGGGGGGCGATGGTAACTTCCTCAATGGCTCAAGGGGGCGTTTCTTTCAAAAAGGTTAAGAACCACTGGTGTAGATGAACATAGTCCCATGAGTCTGCAAAGGCCAATCTTAGGAATTCTGATTAGTTAAGCATTAACAAACTTAACAGCCTTCACTTGGAATCCAATGCTGTCTTGTGTAAATATCTGCACCACACACACACTTATTCTTACTCTGATACATCAGTGATTTATGTAGAGTGTGATATTAAGGATAAGATAACAACTATGTGAAGCTCCTTTTAAATGAATGCAAACACTACCAACTATGAGTATTGGGCATTGGTTTTTATGCATGGAAATAAAAGACGAGATAAGTCCTTGGATTGAACCAGAGCTTGGAGATGCTACTTTTGGGACTGAGAATCCTAGGTGAATACAGCTATTTGTCTGGGGGATTCTGGGAGATGTATTCTGAAAAAGTAACATTTGCAAGCTCTGCCAAGTATTGGAAGGCCAGAATGGTCTTTGGCAGAATCCACATTCAGTGCTAGGGCTCACCCCTTGCAAATGTAGAGGATTAAGATGACCAGACTTTTGACCATGTGCAAAGTTTATTTTCCTAACTAAAAATAGGACATTAAATTTGCAATCATTCACTATTGCAATGGGTACTGAACCCATTGAAACTTCTTTCATTGTTTCATGTACAAGTCCTACAACTGGAAAGACAAAAATAGAGAAAATCCTAAATTGTAAGGCTGATGGATTGGGTCTGTCTGTTTTTGCATAGTAATAACAAATGGCAACATATGTTGTTGACAGAAAAACCAAAAACACCTGCTATGCATTAAATAAACTAGAGCTCAATACTGTAGTAAAGACGTTACATGAATGGCACACTTTCTCGTGGTGTGGGCTAGCAACATTTTAGAATATTATACATAATCCTTTTTACTTCCACAAAAGCTCCAGTGGTATTTTATAGGCCTCTGCATTTTGCTTAACATCAACAAACCACCTGTTCAGAAATCTCAGCTGTGTCTAAAAATCCAAAACAGTGCAGTGAGCTCTCAGTCTCTGATGTGGTCAATGTCCTGTCACTTTTTGACAGGAGCTGGATTCAATGCTCTCTATAGGGTTCCTTCCAGCTCTGCAGTTCTAAGATTACTGTTGTTTGTTGTTGTTGTTGTTGTTAATCAAAATAATGCATATTAATCAAAATAGGCCAATGAAATTGCTCAGCATACTAAACAGGCTCAGCTCCACAATTCAAACAGGTTGTGGCTGGCCTGGGAGATTGCAACATTTTTTTGCAGCCAAAGTGAATGGGACAAAGTTCATTTCAAAGATTCTGAGGCTCTGCTGGGGATCTGTGAAAAGCTGCCAGCTATCTGAGTTGGTTGCACTCTTGCCCTGCTCATAATTCTTTTCCAATAGTATGGAGTGCAAAATAACTTGGCCTTGGATCACACATAGGAATTCCTCAGCTCCAGCCTGAATACAGCCCAACATATGGCACAGGTTTATGGTTTGACTGTAGATGATCAACATTATTATCCAGGAGGTAACTGGGGTTCTGTCCATGTAACAGATCCTCAAGCCCCAGCACTTGTGGGTCTTTTATCAACACAGGTCGGTTCTCATTTCCAAGCTGCAACACTATTGGTCCTACCTGATTTCCTATGGTACTACGTACTATTACTGCTACTGCTAAAATTTATACCCTGCTTTTACCCTGCTCTGGTCATGCTCAAGGAAACTCTATCCCCCTACAGCTAGTTTCCCTTTTCACATACAGCAAGATTATTCAATTGTTCCTTCTTTAAACAAGAATTATAGGCCAAAATCCTACTAAATAATTTATGCATGTGCAAGAGGAATAGCAGGATAGGATTCGGGGCATTAAATTCACAGAGGAAATTACCTTTGTTTAACAGAATTTGACTGTCAGAAAGCACTGTAAAAGGATCTTGGTCATGAATCACACATTAGAAACAAGCCCACCCCAATGTCCCACCAACACTAAGGCGAAGAAGTAACCATTGAGCGGCCTGCCATTCCTTCTCCTTCCCAGCCTGGAAGTGGGGACCCCTCAAAAACAGCGCCCTTCGTCAGGAAGACGGGAGGCTGCCGGCTTGGAGGAAGGCGACCATTTACGAAAAGGGAAAACACATTTAGGGGCAAGTTCTGAAGGGCTTCCCCTGCCAGAAAACACCCCCAAACCTGACTCTCCATAGGTTCGATGCCTTT